GGAAAAAAACAACAACAATAAAACATTTTTATTCAAAGCTGTCTCAGGGCCCTGGGTAAACGGTACCCTTCCCCCCCCCCACCCCCCACCCCCACCCCAGTCCGACGCCCCTGTTCTGAACATACAATAGAGAAATCTCAGCATTTCACCCCCCCCCCCAAAAAAAAAAAAAAAACCCACAACGGAATAAAGTTTAAATCTTACAATTTATGATTAGAAAAATAATCTGAACAAAATGGCCTACGTGTTTCAAGACAAACGTGTTTATCAAAAGAGAGTAAATGAATGTATTACACTATAAAAAAATAGTCTAGAATAAAATTAATTCCTTGTGAGTCAATTTCTGTGGGGAAAAAGGTAGAAATTAGTTGCAAGAAGAGTGCAAATTTGCTGTCTTATTCATTTTTGTTCATGATATGCAGACATCTCGCCTTTCATTGGCTTATAGCAGCTCTTCCACTGACTCTGCTTTGCAAAATTGAGGTTTTATCTCCACAAATATAAGCCTGAAGGAGTTCTGCTGGGGTGTGGATTTGCTACTGCTAATAGTTAGCTACTTCAAGATGAGATGTGCTCTGCTCTCTCTTGGCTGCAAAACCCAACACAGCTTTCCTCATTTACGGGCCAAGATGGTTGAGTTCATGAAGGAAAAATTACAGTGCGACACTGAGCTGTGGCTTTTTTTTTTTGACCCCTCGTCTGTTTCCTTTTGGTGGTTAATGCAGGAAAAAGGGTGAAGACTATTTCATGTTTAACGTAAATCTTAAACTGATACAGTTTTAAAAATAACGAGCAAAAAATTATTTCTCAGTTAATGTTCCGTTTAAAAGAGAAAGGAATAAAGTTTAAATCTTACAATTTAAGATTAGAAAAAAAATCGGAACAAAATGGCCTACGTGTTTCAAGACAAACATGTTTATCAGAAGCACATCAACAATTATGGTCCATGATCCTTTCTTAGTTTTTACCACCAAAACATTTTCTAAAAAACAATTGAAAAACATTTTAAATGAAAAGAAAGTGAGTTCCACCTAGTGGTTGGCTGCAGTATACTTATATTTTTATCCTGTTGATGACTTAAATGAACGGGAGAATTTCTAAAGTAGAAGAAAAATACTGTAAATTCCCCTCAGATTATTTCTGGTGTCAACTCCTGCTCATTCACGTATTTCTTAACTTTTTATTGCATATCCAATTTTTTATTTTGTAAAGATGTTTAATTAAAATTAACTATTCATTTTTAAATGCCACAGCTATGTACAGATGAGTAAAAGGAACTTTAACCAAATGTCTGAGCTGTGCAGAGTCTTATTCCCAAAGTGCCATAATGTGGGATACAATGGGCTTTTATTATTCTAAATGTATTCAGTGTATACCAATAAATAGTACCAATACCCAGCTGGTCTACAAGTTTTACTTTTCCCACTATACTGATGCACCAAACCGTAGCACACACATACATGAACAAAGATACTATAACTCTCACTAGTTTATTTAATTAGCATAAAATGATCACAGCCATCAGTTGTGACTTACACACTGAACAGCGTGACCCAGCTAGAAATCCATTCAGTTTAATTACGAACCATGCTATAACCAGATAAAACTGTCTCCAGGGTAACAATAAATTGTGATTAAAGTTCTTTGATTTATTTACAAATATAGTTGAATAGATTTTTTTTTCCTTTTTGACATCACTTTTCTCCCTCTCCCACAGCATGAATTCAGTGCATACCAACCAGTGAATCGGACCATTGAGGGTTATTTAGAGTGGCTGTCCTTAAAGTAAATATGAATACAGGGCCTCTTGTCAGGGTCAGAATGAGCTCCCTATTCACACAGCTCCATGTCTACCATAATTTCCTCGACATCCAATCACCATCATGCAAGGGAACCATAGCAACTTTGAAGCCTTGAATGTTATTGGCTAAACCAATGAAATGAAAGAGAGAAGAAAAGGAAGTCAAGTAAAAAAAAAGGCTTTTGGCCAAATTTGTGCAGGGCTGTGGTCAGATCAGTTATTGAACCATTTCATTCACACAGGTTGTGTTCGACTTGCTTAATTTTTTTTCAGACAAGCCTAACCATGCCCTTTCAAATTTGACCAATTTACACTTTACACTATTTATGAGTGCACATACAATATGGCAGTTAGATGTTGGAATGACTCACTCTGCTCATTCTGCAAAAGTAAGATTGCTATGTTAGTGTCAGCATGTGTGTGAAATGTTTGCAGAAATCATCTGTCATTGTACTTACTGCAGTTTGATGTCTTTTCCCCAAAAAATATTTGAAAAAACCTTTTCTGCAAGTTTAGAATTTAACACAGTCCAGAATCTGCAGACAAATAGTAACGCAGATATATGTACTTTGCAGTGAAATCTTGTAAAATGGCCTTTCAAAATGCAGAATGGATGGAAAATTACATGTATGCTCAAGTAGAGGTCAAGTACTGACAGTGTGGTTCACACATTTAATCAGTATATTTGCAGTGGCCTCTAGTAGGAATGAATGCCTTGTAAATCGTACTGTTGTGGAAAAAAGCACCAGTGCACCAGTTTCAGGAACTAAAAGTCAGCCACATCAAAGCTGAGTTTTCAGACGGCATGTTTTGGACTTTGTATTTTCTGATATTTAGACATCTCTCCTCTGATTGGCTAAAAGCAATGCGACTCTACCATTGACTCCATTTTCTCTGCAACATTGATGATTCATCTTCACAAATAACACGCCTGGAGAAGTTTTGCAATGTTGTGGAGTTGCTAATGCTAACGTTTAGCTTCTGTTATAGCCAAGATGTTCTCTGCTGTTTCCTGGACGCTAAACCAACAACAGCCTTCCCCATCGCAAGTCGAGATGGGGGAGTCCATGAATGTTGAGTGACAGTGTGACGCAGATCTGTCTGGATTTTCAAATCCTAGAGTTTCACTTTCCATTTTCTATCAGAGGCAAATGCAGGAGATCAGTGTTTTATTTTTAGCATACATGAATATCTCTGACTGATTATAATCAGAAGTAATTAACAAATGGTTTCTAAATGAATCACATATTGAAAATATGTTGAGTAAAGTTCTAAAAAGTGGGTTTGACCTGATCTCATTTACTCGCTTTCACTTCCATTATCCTCTGTAGGGTTGTGGAGATCTTGTGCCAAACCCTAACCCTAACCCTGGACAGGTCACCAGTTCGTTACACACACACACTCACATCTAAAGGGACATTTTATTGTCTGCAGTTATCCTGAACATGCATGCTTTTGGACTGTGGGAGGAAGTTGATGCACCCAGAGAAAATCCACACATGCATGGGATGTACAAGCAAACTCTGCAAAGAAATGTCACATTTGGGTTTCGAACTTGCAACCTTCTTGTTTAGGCAACAATGCTACCAACTGTGTCACCTTGCAACCCTGACTGTATTTCATTGAAACAAACAAAAACTAGGTCAAATTAAGGAATAAGTACTCCTTCATTACTTTTAGAATAGAAATGGAATAAAAGAATACATTTAATTTGATGCAATGGTTGAATTTGTGCGACATCTCTAAATTTTTTAATGTAGCTGTTATTGTAGAGACTAGGGATGCATGACTTATTGGCATCAATATCAATATCAGCCGATTTTAGTCATTTTGTAACATATCTGTCCAACATGATATTAACAACCGATATTTTTCTCATTTTGTTTCCGTTTGTGTCTGTTTCAGAGGGTGAGGTGGGTGATGATGTGTAATTGTTTAGGCAGTGATGGTAATAATCTCAGCGGCATAAATGTGTGAGGTGTAATAGTAATAGTGAATATAGGTATCGGCCCAAAATTTCATATCAGTGCATCCATGCATCAGACACGTCTTTACACTGCAATAAAACAGTACATGAACAGCAGAAATAAACTATTTATATTTGTTTTAGCTGCACTCTAAAAACTATAATTTTGTTTTAAATCCAACAACATGTCATGTGCATAAATATGTTATGCTGTTTGTTGGTATTTATTCATGCGTATGATCTAATTTAACCCCACGGTAATGATTTACAGATGTTGAAATAGTGAGTGTCAGTGCCGCAGAAGAGATTTTCTAACACACACAGGTGCACACACACACACAAAGTCAAGAAAAGATGGAGCCAGACTGATGCAGATAGAAACCCACAGGAACATCCTCAGGTCGCTGCCGAATCTAGAGCTGCAGTGGTTCAATAAAAGCACAGTGGCCTACATTACAATGACACTGACATATACTGTACAGAACAGCACAGTAGTTTCCAGACGGTCTGCTGCAAGGCGGTGTGAGGGTAGGGCCATGTTTTACATTATCAACAGGGCAAAATGTTCCTTTTCAATGCTCTAGTTTGTGCTGGAAAGATGCCAAAATCAACATTTTAATCGAAAGGTGAGGTATCCCTTACTTATGCTTTTTAATAGAAAAAATAAACAAAGCTGGCTAAAGTAAAACAACTATAGATGCTATAAATCTATTTCTTATTGGTTTGTTTGACAACTTGTAAGAATCAAACTTCCCATATGAAATAATATAAGTAGAATTATTATTATTATTGATTTTATTGATGGAAGAAAAAACTGAAGGTTAAATTAAAAGATCCAGTAAAGAACTATTTTAACTTGGCAGAAACTATGCTCATTTATTGTTCTTAAAATAAAAAAGGAACAAAATCTATTCTACAGAGTTAAATCAGGTTGTACTATTGAGGTAAAGGAAATAAGCGTGAGATGATTTATCAAGTTTTGATACATTAATAAGGGTCAAAGCCTATGCTTCTGCACTGATACGAAGACACACAATGCCATACTGAAGAGCCCTCGCAAGGACAGATGGGATCGAGCCCACTTTTCTAAACATTTGTCGAACAAGACGGGGAACGCAAGCTTGTGATTGGTCAGGACGCCACTTTCGTCAATAGCGCTGCCCTTGTGCACTCAAAAACACATTGAAAGCGGCAGACACAAAGCAGATTAAAGAATACCTCGCAGAAAAACTCTAAAAATACAAATGTTTTATTCACCCGTGACTGGAGGAAAAATACAATATAAGCACAATAGTAAATGCACTATCTTGGACCGGATACATGACAGGATACCCCAGAACAGTGTTACACCCTCTGTTGTCCTGGCGGGGAATTGTTTTGCAACACTCGGAGAAGTCTGAGAGCAACTGCGTGTGCATCTCTCTCGTGGAGCTGATGTAGAAGCATAAACTAGACTTAAGTCCACGCTACTGCAGATCAATGCTTTCTATTACTTCTGTGACAGAAAATCTGTAACAGAATTTCTTTCGCTTGCCACCTAATGAGCATCTTTTATGGCTATTAAAACTTCTAACATGACATGCTTCCAGAGGCTCCAGGTCTAATTCCCAACAACCCGGCATCCATAAAACCTAATCTCAACCAAATCCACGTTGTTTGTCTGCAAATATGCAAATTTGTGTGGCATGCCGACAAGTCAAGGATATCTCCCAAATCTGTAGGAGGTCAATCGATCATTTTGAGCCAAGTAATGAGTAGAGGAAGTGGATAAGGAAGAAAAGCTGCAGCACTGATTGTTTCCTTCACAACAAAGCAACAATGAACCAGATTCAAAGCTTAGAGTGACTCAGCTGTTGGAAATACGAGAACAGCCACCCAAGAGAAAAGATTCATTTTAACCCCACTGATGTTGCCAGAGAAGAACCGTCTGGGTCCTTGTTTTCAAGAGTTCAACACGTTAACCATTGTATTCCTCTCAGCTTCTCACACTCGACTGCAGTGGAGCACGGTGGAATCAGCTGGTTCATAGTGTTATGTTACTTTGTTCTTCTTCTTGTACTGTTAACACTCAATGAGAGGGGGAAGATTGCATGAAGAAAATAAATGGTTGTCAGTGTTTGCATGTGTCTGATATTAGGCACATTAAAGTCTTCGCTACCAGCTAGTAGCCTCTTATAAATCCCTAGCACGGCCAGAGCCATGCTGTTCACAGAACATAATGAGAGTCTGCTCTTTTTACCAGCCCACACATACTGTAACAACCAAGAACATGTTATTTTGCCAAAGCAAAGAGCAGCCATTGCATTTGGCTGGTGACTGAATATTCACTTCCCACAGTTCTTGTTAAAACATGAGGAAACACTTGAGTTCAGACTGCTTGTAGAGGTCTTCTTGAGACTGTGCACAGCCAGGAGTGAAGTGAGAAAATACCAGAACCTCTTCTCCTTTAGAGCTCAAAAAACTTCAAACTCCTTCACAATGTTTTATTTTTTCTTAAAGAAATCTTTGTCATTGATTACATTTTCATGGTTTGAAGAATTGAACAGGTACTAATTATATGTTTTATGGTTTTTTTTAAGGCAGTAGAAGACGCTTATTTTTTATGTTTTTGAGATATTAAATTAAAAAAATTAATTGGATATTGGAGTTTTTTCACATGATGCTCCTAATTTTTTTATTATTATTATTTTGTATTGTGAGTTTAGTAAAAGGGTTGCAGAGCAGGTAGACAGTTGAAATCATTCAGTTCATTATTCCTATAAGCAGTCTATTTTTGAAACTCCTTTTTAAACAAGAGTTTCAGACTGGGAGCCATCTTTATCAGAAAAATGTTTGGCAAAGAACATTTACAGCAAATCACATTAAGCAATTGGCTTTTATTAAAAGACCAAATGATTTGAAATTGTATTTATGAATTTCATTTAAAGCATAACTTTGAAGCATGCAGCATGTGATGCTCCGAGCTGCTTTCACTATATGCTATAGGTGAAAAAAAAATAAGCACTCAAATTGCAGGAAGATAAGAGACAAAGAGCTCTCCATGTTAAAGGGGTAAGGGTGAACAGTAATGTCTTTAATTAAGCAGAGAGAAGTGAAATAAAAAATGCACTTGAATTTTTAATCTATTTTAGGCACAGCTCAAATCACATCCGTTCAAGCTGGCATATTCACATTTAATAGATTTTAGCTCTTATGCACATTTTTTTTTCTTAAAGTTATTTTTAATGATTATTTCTGATTATTATCAGTCACTGTGAGTTATTCATGCAGGTTGAACATGAAAAAAGTCTTCTACACATATCTTCTGTATTAGCTTCTGATAGAAAATAGATGATGAAATGCTAGGATTTGAAAATCCTCTCATATGTATGTCACACTGTGAATTTGCATGTATGGCCTCGCCCATCTTAGCTCGCATTCACCCACAAGAAGGCTTATATGAGTTTTTTTTCCTTGCAGTGAGGAGAGACAGCAGAGAATACCTTTGTGATACTGAGTTTACAACATGGCTGAATACGTTTTGTTAGCCAATCAGAAGTGAGGTGTGTCATATCATTAATATTGTTGAGCAATCCTTCTGTTTTCAGACCACCTCTGCACCAGCAACATTCTGCATCTCAGAACAGGAGCATCATAGGTTCTTATTTTTCTTAAATTACACATAATGCATTGATCACACATCACGCCAGTTTTGCTTCGTTGTGACCTTGTACTTGACCTAAAGGTCGTTTCTCAGAAATTCACACAACACATTTAACACTCACCTACACACACACACACACACACACACACACACACACACACACACACACACACACACACACACACACACGCACACACACACACACACACACACACACACATGTATATATATGTGTGTGTGTGTGTGTGTGTGTGTGTGTGTGTGTGTGTGTGTAATGGAGGACCATTAGATTTTGCCTTCTGTCAGTTAAGGTTTTGTGTCATTTGTTTACAAAGTTAAAAAACAATATTCAATGAATGTCAGATTCAGAAAATGACTGGAATCTGAAAATGTGCATGTAAGGAAAAGAAACCCACAAACTGTGTAGAGCTGTGTGATACTTGTATTTTTCTCCTTTACAGTCACTGAGAAATCAATGTTAGGAACTAAGCTGAGGCATCAGAGACCTGCAGCCTATCTGACCTGCATAGAGCCCTACTGTGGGGTATAATGCAGCATTGTACACCAATTACTTAAAGACCCATTCATGCAGACACTAAGTAAATGCATAGGACCGTAAGATAGGGGTTTGGGGTGTGATACCACTTAGATCACTGCCTCCAGCCTTTATGACTAAAAAGCTTACACACATAAAATCTGAGTAAGGAAAGCACATCAGAGCAAAGTCTCTCCGATTAGAGAAATACAAACCAAAGTTGTTTTTTTATTATTTTTTTTTCATAGCCTCATTTGTCCTTCCGTAAAAATGGTGTTGCTAAAAATAAAATGTTCAAAGAGAACAGAAATCAAAACGACACAAAATAATGTTCCAGTGTCCACGGAAAAGCCCCGGTGTCAGACATTCATTTGTTTCATTTCAGTCCTCTGTGTTTTTCTCCAAAAGCAGAATGGTCAGCAAAGCTCTGTAGTACTGTAACACATGTCTGGTACTTTGAAAAATTTGCAAGTGTGAAGAATGAGCCCTTGCAGACGAGTCAGGCAACTGCAGTAAATGCATTACTAAATTAGCCCTAAACACTACACAAGCCATTAAGAAGCATGTCAAAATCCAAGGAGGAAAATTAAAGATACAAAATGCAACCAATAACAGGAAAACACTTTGCAACAACTGTTATTTGACTGCATTTCACCTTTTGTCTGATGAGCCAGAGGGGAGTCTTGTGCACATTAAATGAACACGCATAGACACGCTACAAATGAAGCACTGGCACTGTCAAAGAAACACAACTTAGCTTCAGCAAACACAGGGTTAAACCTTAGCTGCAGATCTTCACTGCAGTCCAAAAGCATTTGGCTGATAGCTACTGAACAGCATAATCTATCTGTGCCATTTTGCTTCTATTGGACGTTAGTATCAGTCTTAATTTAACTTGTGTTTTTTTAGATTTCCTAATCTGGAATACCATTTTATTGCATATGATTTTGGTGAAGTACAAACAGGAGCTCATATGTGGATTGAGTTTTGAAACTGGTGCCTACATAAAGTTTTTTTTTTGTTTTTTATGACAGCGTCCCAAATATTTGTCAAAAACAAATTAAATGCCTCTTTTCTCACATTACACAGTGACACCATCTATTTTCATTCAAAAAACCTTTATTGTTTTATTCTTTTAAATAGAAGTCTTCCAATGTTAGAAAATAGTTTCAAAGTAATGTCATCTTTAATATAATCTGTTTTACTCAGTGTCTGACTTTAGGTTCATTTATATATAGTTAGATCTTTTTTCCATATTTATATACTTATGTATAGGCATGTACAGGGAAAAAAAAGATGTTTTGGACACTTTTGTACAAAATAAAGTTACAGTTCTGCTCTTTGTGCATTCTATTGCATGGCCTGGTGAGCAAGTAAGAGAAGATAACTTTGAGCAGAGTCTGAAATGGATCCACAGGGAGCTCAGATTTGGGTCTCCTGAACCTTTTCCTTGCCGTGAGTAGTCTTAATGAGATAGGGATCAGCAATGGTGCTGATGTGGCTGTGGTGGTGTCTGACAGAGCGGTGAAGAGAGTTGTTCTGAGTCCAGTGGGCCCCGTAGCTCCCTTGTCTAGATGAGGCGGACGATGACACATACCCAGGTTTAAATGTGTTGCTGTTGTGTTCCACTAATGTTGGCAGTACCAGGCCTGTGTCATCAGAGCCACTAGATCCAGATGTTGGTGGTGGAACAGGGGGGGCCTGTTCCTCCATCTGTATAATTTCTATGGTCCTGGCTGCTGCCACTGTACTCCTCTGTTGATGCCTCTTCCGCAGTTTATAGAATGCTATCAACATGGCAGCTGCCAGCAAGGTAACAGCTACAAAACAGCCAATTATGATTTTTGTGGTTTTCATCACCTCATCCAGGCTGGCAGCTGGCCCACTAGGGACTCTGGCAGTGGGAACTGACACCTGCCTTGGAGTCTGAGTATTTTGGAAAAGCACAGTTGGTGTGGAGATAAATACAGGCTGAAAGACTGAGGGTGAGGCAGGGGCAGTGGGTTTGGGTTTTGGAGTCTCCTCCACTGTGGGCTCCAACACTTCCACTGTCACAGTGGTAAAGTAGGTCTCAGATATGTTCAGTTCAGCATTGCTGACATTTAGGTAGGCGGAGGCATTGGAGTTCCCTGCCATGTTGCTCACCATGCATGTGTAGACCCCTGTGTCTGACAGTAGAACATTAGAGAAGTTGAGCGTTCCATCATTCAGAACAGATATCCTCGGATGAGCCGAGCCATGGGTTAACACGGTCCCATTCGGGAGAAGCCATCGGACTGAGCTCATGGTAGCTGTTCGACACTTCAACTCTGCAACTCTTGCAGCTGAAATGTTCAGATCTCTTGGAGCGTCATGTATCACTGGTGCCGAACACTGAAATGTTGTCTGATCAACTTCCACCAGGTATCGTCCTCTCATGTGGACTGGGGTGTGGCAGCGTCCACAGCAGGTGGAGTTTGTGGGAATGTATTCTCGGAGCCACCAAGAGAGCCAAACCACATCACAATCACAACGCCAAGGGTTGTGGTGTAAATGAAGCTCCACCAGGTACTGAAGAGGAGTAAAGAGGTTATGGGGAAGTGATGATAAATTATTATGGGCAAGATTGAGCTCTACCAAAGCTGTGATGTCATCAAATGCATTCCTCTCAATGGTTGTGATGGCAGAGTTCATAATCCAAAGTTTATGTAAATTCTGAAGCCCACGGAAGGCTCCAGGCTTTAGTTCTGGGAAAACATTCTCTGATATCTCCAACTCCTCTAATCCCACAAGAGGAGACAAATTTGGAAACTCCCTAAGACGGCACATTCCCAAATTCAGGTACTTGAGGTTATGAAGGCCCTCAAACGCCCCATCTGAGATGTACTCCAACTTCCTTAGTTCACCCAGGTCCAGTCTCATGAGTGAGGGGACACGATTAAAGGCATAAGAGGGTATGCTCTCAATTGGATTGTTTCTAAGCCACAGTTCTCTTAACTTTGAAAGATAGTCGAAAGCCCCACTGGGTATGACTGTCAGTCGGTTGTCGAACAGTTCCAAGGTGTTGAGACTAGTTAGGCCATTGAATGCCCCCACTTCGACCTGCCTGATAGCATTCCTGCCCAACTGCAGCACCTCCAGATGATGCAGGTTCCTGAAAGTGTCTGCCTGTATGGTCTCTATGCTGTTTTCCATTAGGTTCAGGTACCTGGTATTGGCTGGGATGTTTGGAGGAACCCTGATCAGGCCTCGACGAGTACACACCACCTTGCTGAGCTGGTTAGTACAGGAGCACACACCTGGACAGTTCTGCGTGTTAACAGAGCCCAACTCAGGGCCTGTGAACTGGCACATACTGAGAGCAGGCACCATGAGGGAGAGCACGGCGAGCAGGATGGTGTTCCAGGTAGGCTGCACACTAACCTGGCCCAATGGACTCATGGTGTGGAGGGCTCATTATTCTGCATGGTGGGGGGAGACGGGACACACCAAAGGACAGACCACCCTATCCTGGCTGGAGCAACTCAAGGCTCCCAAGTTCCATCGACGGTGCAGGAAGATTCTGCGTCAATATGTTTGTTTGAAGGAATGAAAGGAGAAACAGACAAAAGACAGAATGAAACAGATTAATAAAAGTGAAGCAGCAGATGAAAAGCAACACAGCAATGTGACGAAGGGGTGGAGTAACAGCTCTGGTGCCTTACCTCATTAGTTTGAAAATGTTCTCGTCTTTTTTCAGAAGTTAAAAGCAGTCGTTCTGCCACACGTTCATTTATAATTCCTTCCCATGGAATGACAAAAGATCTTTTTTTTTTCTTTTCTCTTCTTTTGAAAAAATGATGTGTCCCTTTTATTAGACAGGGGTACAAAATGGCTCCTGATTTTTAGGACTCAGAACAGCATTAAAAGAAGCACTCAGAGCCATAGGTAAGGCCGGGAAGTCTCGGCAGGTGCCTGGAGCCTGTCTTCCCTCACTAACTCCCCCCTGCCAAGTTGCAGATTCCTAGATGCGGCTCCTCTGTGGATAAATCACAACGATCCAATACGCAGTTAATTGCAACAGAGGAGGGAAAAAAAGAGGTGTGACTAACTGGAATTAAAGAAAAAATCCACTGTTCTCTCAGCTCCTGGTCCATGTGTTGGCTCGTCGGCTGGTCGCCTGTTTGGGTGAGAGACCTCCCTTACTGTGACTTTGCCAAGGGCTTGTCGGTCGCTGATTAGCCCTGTTGTGACAGAGGCTGAGAGACAAAAAAGAAAAAAAAAGGCTAAAGAACTCCCGGCACAAGCATCCCCCTCTTCTCTCATCCTCTGTGTTCCTCTTGCTTCCTCCAAACGTTGAGCTGGCCCTGGTCAGAGCAGCTGCATGCTGCCGTGTGCACAGTTAGCAGTAATCCATCTATTCCTCTTAGGGGGGAGGGGGGTTGAGGTTGGTGGGAGAGATGGTGGCGCTGTGTGTGTGTGTGTGTGTGTGTGTGTGTGTGTGTGTGTGTGTGTGTGTGTGTGTGTGTGTGTGTGTGTGTGTGTGTGCTTGAGAGAGGAGAGAGAAGGGGATGCGCTGCACTGTCGGAGCTTCGCAAAAGCTGACGAGGAGGGAGAGATCACTCCTGCCCTTTTCTGCAACGGGAGAAGAGGATGACGCCGACTGTAGAAGTGGGGTTTTGTATTCGTATCCATAAAGAAGAAAACGTGTTGAAGATTCTTTTCTCCGCTCGTTGTCTGTCCTCCAGGCGTTCTCCCGCGGTGTTCCTCTGCTCACGTATTTGTTAATGTTTCCTCCAGGGTTGAGGTAGTAAGTTGTGGCAGTTGGCCATGTGTATGGCTGTCAGACTTGCGGCTGGCTGGTGGACTACTGCAGTAGTCAGAGTAAAACGGAGAGAGGGAATGGGAGAGCTTGAAAGGGAAGGAGAGAAAGAACCACTGACAGATCAAGAGCAAGAGAATGATAGAGTGTGTGAAGGAGAATGTGTGTGTGTGTGTGTGTGTGTGTGTGTGTATGAGAGAAAGAGAGAGAGAGAGACACGGAGAGGGAGAGAGAGAGCGTGAGAGAGAGAGAGAGAGAGAGAGAGAGAGAGAGAGAGAGAGAGAGAGAGAGAGAGAGAGAGAGCAGCCAGCCTGCCGTCACAGAAACAGCAGGACCAGCATTCTTATCCTCATCTTCTCTCCTTGTTTATTCTCCCCCCCCCCCCCCCCCCCCCCCACACACACACACTTGTGTGTCGGTGTTGCAAGCAGCTAAGATGCTTGCTCTGCCCCCTCCTTTTGTCCTTCAGTGGGAACGTGAATGTACTGCTGACGCACTCCTCTCAGCTGCTCAGCAGCCTCAGAGCAGTGCATTGGTTTGATGCAGTGTTCCTGTGTATTAACACGTTCAGCCTCCCCCTCCTCTCTAATCCATTCTTCCCCGTCCCATCACTGTAACTATCTTCACCTCTGTTTCTCTCTGTTACGAACACATTCTGGCTCTTGCGTACTTGTTTCGCTCAAACTCTTTCCTGTGTCGATTCCTCCCTCCGCTCACTCGCCGTCTAGACGACACCCCCTTGCAACCGATTGTCAAAATTAAAAGATGTACAAAGACTCCTGTTCCAATGTGTCATACAGAGACAACAGGTCAGATTTTCAATCTCTGCTGCAGAACAGTTATTTTTTTCAACCATTATCTTGAAAACAAAAGTGAGCCATATTTTACCACCAGGGGTGGATTTTGCTGCCATTTGTTTTTCTTGAGCAAGAAACGGTTTGTTGAGTGTTTCCCTCGTGCAGAAGCACCATCAAGCTAAATCAGAGTTGTTTGATGCATCAGATGTGTTAAAACTTGTTATGGGAGGGAATGCTTGAGGGTGGGGCGAGGAGGGTTAGGTCAGGGGCTACGTGACATCACAGAGAGCTGAAGTGCTGACTTTGCTCCTCTGAGTCTGCTGGGCAGTCGTCTCTTGAGGGAGGAGAAAGATGAAAGAGCTAGCACATAGTTATCTCTTGGAAAGATGAGAGAAAGACAGAGAAAGAGACTCACCAAGTGAGTAGAGAAGGGGGGCGGGGCTGGGCTGGGTGGGAGGAGATATATACAAGTCCTTGGTAAAAACGGGGGAAGAGAGAAGTGAGATAAAAAGGGACAGAGAAAAAAATGAAGGAGAAAGATGAGTGAACACACTGCATGAAAGTCTCCTCAGTGAAATGGCAAGGAAAGTGAGAGAAGGATGCGGATTAGGGGTGAAGTATTAGAAGAAAGTGCTGATAGTATTGAGTTAAGTGTCGTTTCAATGCAGGAAAACAACTATACCCTTCTGATCTCTTTCTTTCTTTCTTTCTTTCTTTCTTTCTTTCTTTCTTTCTTTCTTTCTCTCTCGCTCTCTCTTTGGAGTCTGGATCTCTACAATAACACAGTTTAAATCAAATGTCCTTGTGTCCATTCCAGTTAAATTTTGATATGAGTGATTGAAACATTGCTATTTCACTATGTGAAGCTGTCAATAAAATGTTTGTTGTGTGTCCACACAGTATAGTTTTATGCCAGTGAAGTGCAAAATAAGTTATTTTAATGCCAACAAGATGACCCCAAGATATGTGTGTTCTGTATGTGAGTACAGATAAATGAGACTGAATAAATGAGAGGGCCTATATTATCCTCCGAACATGCTACTGTGCCAAACTCTTTAGCATAAGTGTCACCATTCTGAATGCATTTTCTTTGGATAACTTTAGTTGAATGATCTTGTCTTGTAAAAATGGCAAAAGAACACCAACAAAATAAGGGAAACATAATTTAAATAGATAGCTTGGATCTTTTGAAAGTGTTAATTTTGACATTTTAATTTAGTGTTAGTCTTTTGACTAGAATTCTTTTCATTTTAGTCACATTTTAGTCGACTGAAATATATGTATTTTTCTTCTGATGCGATAAGTTTTAACTTCTGAAAAGGAAATGTTAACTACACCTGCTTAGAACTATAAGGGATATATATATATATATATATATATATATATATATATATATACATATATACATACATAAATATATTAAGTTTAAGTGACAGTGTGTAGTTTCCCTGGTGATATGGGGCAGTACATACCTAAATCACTGTAAGCAAACATTCTTTTTTTGTTCAAATAAGACCTTACCAACAAATGGCCATTAGGGTCAAAAATATGTGGGAGTGCAACCTCCAGCAAAATAACAAGAACATCAGACTTCCTTTTCATCACTGGCAATGAGTGAAGAGATAGGTGTGTAAAGCAACAATGTTTATTAATGGTGACTGTTTTGTAACAAATTGTTACAAATCAGTTAACGCATTTCCACACAGATTTCCGTAAAATGAAACATGGCATCCAATATGGCGTCGCCCAGAAACTTAGACCCACTCCATGTATTTTAGAACAGATGAATAGATTGAACGGTTAAATGTTAGGACACTGTCAATATTTTTCAACAACTGGGCATCTTTCAAGGTGATTTACTACAACATGTCGATGGACATTTCCAGAGATTAATGGTAAAAACCACACATTGTCACTTTAAAGTCCCAAAGTCATCATCACACACTGATGAAATTCATCTCCACATTTGCTCCTTTCCCATGGAGGGGAGCGGTGAGCTGCGCTTGGGAATTGTTTGGTGGTTTAACCTCCCAATCCAAAAGAGTTGAATGAGGATGGTGATGAAGAAACTACGTTAAACAGGAAAAACATTATCTATCTATCTATCTATCTATCTATCTATCTATCTATCTATCTATCTATCTATCTATCTATCTATCTATCTATCTATCTATCTATCTATCTATCTATCTATCTATCATCTATCTATCTATCTATCTATCTATCTCTCTCTCTCTCTCTCTCTCTCTCTCTCTCTCTCTCTCTCTCTCTCTCTCTCTCTCTCTCTCTCTCTCTCTCTCTCTCTCTCTCTCTCTCTCTCTCTCTCTCTCTCTCTCTCTCTCTCTCTTATTTGAGAGCCAAAGACAGGAATTGTTTTCAAATGTATCTATTCATTTTCTCTTTACTGTGTTACCAAGATGGACCAACTGAACGTTTTTTCTGGGTTGTCAGAATGTCATATTTTTCACAAAAACACCACTTGAACAACAAACGCTGAGAACACCGACCATAGCAGAGCCATAAAATAAAAAATAATAAAAAATACAAATAAAAACTTAAACAACCAGATGTGCCGCTCAGGGAGTTCAGTTTATTTCAGCAATCTACTTCCATCCCTCCCCACCAACGATCCCTTTTACCACTGTAACACTTTTAAAACCAGTGGAAACTCTTAATGTACACTCACCAAGCAAATGCTTTTCAGATTTTCCTCCCAGTTAAGGACATTTTCTCCTTATTGACATAAATTGTTTAACTGACACTAGCTTGTTCAAACAGCACCTAGCTCCAGACTCTGATTGGTTAAATTCTCTTCAAGTCCCACCTTGGTTCTTTTGTCCATTCCCCCCATCTTTCCCATTTTCTGATAAGATTTTTGCAACTGCCAAGTTTCATTGCTGTCTTTAATTAATAGACAAAAATATTCCAATACAGTTCTGTTCATTAAGCCAATTAGTAAAAAAAAAATCCTATATATGGAACCCAGCAAATGGCATCGAGTCACTGACTGGTGTCAGTCTTTACAGCAATCCTCATTCTAAGCAAGCATGCAATGACAGTGGAGAGGAAAACTCATTTTTAACAGGAAGAAACCTCCAGAGGATCCCGTCTCAGAATAAGCAGCCATCCACCACGACTCACTGGGGATCAAGAAGAGAGAACACACACACACACACACACACACACACACACACACACACACACACACACACACACACACACACACACACACAACATATATACAGTACAGGCCAAAAGTTTGGACATACCTTCTCATATAATGTGTTGTCTTTATTTTCATGACCATTTACATTGGTAGATTCTCACTGAAGGCATCACAACTATGAATGAACACATGTGGAGTTATGTACTTAGCAAAAAAGCTGAAATAACTGAAAACACGTTTTGTATTCTATTTTCTTCAAAATAGCCACCCTGTTTTCTGATTACTGCTTTGCACACTCTTGGCATTCTCTCGATGAGCTTCAAGAGGTAGTCACCTGAAATGGTTTTCCAACAGTCTTGAAGGAATTCGCAGAGGTGTTTAGCACTTGTTGGCCCCTATGTAAATGGTCATGGTCATGAAAATAAAGAAAACACATTGAATGAGAAGGTGTGTCTTAATTTTGGCCTGTACTGTACATTAGTGTTTCTATGGGTATATTGTGATTTCTTAGTAAATAATGTATTCAGTAGAAGATAAACTTTATTGTCTTTATCTTACTGAATCTATAAATAATTCATCAGGTAAACTAGTAGTAGCACATTTTGTGTCAAAGAAATTAAAACGTAATTATCAGGAGAGGGAGAATCTTTAAGTGGTTAGCAGCAGTGTTCAAGCCGATGGCCACCTCCATGAGGCTAACACAGCTCAGCATAACATCATTGTAACTTCTTCTGGGGAGAAAAACTCTTAGAGAAAAATCAAGTTAAGAGCTGAAATAGTAGGAGATTATGCAATTAAGAAATACATTGTGGAAGAAAGTAGTGAAGTGTGGAAGGTGGTCCTCCAGCATTCTAAACCTATAGCAGCATAACTACAGAGATAACTCTGGATAACTTAGCCCTTTTAGATGGAAGCATGTTGGAGGCAGGGCAAGTGAAAGCCGTCTTTACCAACTGTATTCTCCACCTCCCTCTGCTCCCCCACTTGTCCAAAACAAACAGTCATCTACCCAAACACATGCACATTTACATGCAGGTGTTGTTAATCTACAATGTAGCCACAGCTGTTCTGGTGCTCGCCGACAGAGGCAAGTATATTAGTATTAGTAGGGGACATCAGTAGCTCAGGAGGAAGAGTGGGTTGTCCTGTAATCGGAACGTTGCAGGTTTTATCCCGGCTCTGACCTGAGAATGCTGCTGTTGTGTCCTTGAGCAAGACATTTAAGCCAC